TCATTCTTTTTCTGTTGAGAAAATAGCTTCTTCAATAGATAAATCAGAAGATCTATTGGAAATCCATGCCTATTGTTTTCAGATTTCAAAGAATTACCTGGCGTGTAAATTAGGTATGTATCTCAGTTATCGATACAAAAGGCCAAGTGGGATTACAAGCACTGTAGGCAAAGGGGTGGGTGTGGTTCTTATCAAATATGTCACGTAAGTCATTGTAAGAATTTACAATTTTCTGAAAATTTTACATAAAGGTCTTAGGCCTGGACAGGATTTATGTGTGGTAACTCAGTAAAGGTCCTGAAAGCTCAAGCTCGTATCACTGTGACAGTGTACGCCGTGTGAGGATGGGGTACATTTGAGAAGGGGCAAGTAGCAGGTACCCACATCTTGTAATTCACATGGCTGAGCTGAAAGAGTAGTCTTTCAATACTTGGTTGAGAGAAAGAAGCACCTTCTTAAGGTGACCTAAGTTTCGTGCCTAGCTTCGTGTGGTGGGAATATCCACATAGTTTTCATTTCTTTTTGTTTTTTCTCCCTGTGGAGGAAGGCAACTACTCAAAAAACAAAAATACACTTTTGTGTTTCAGTTCAACACTGCAAGCTGAGTTCCCTCAGAGCATTGAGCCAAACTCAGACATTTATAAAATGTACACAGATAAAGTAATTTGGGGTATACTTGGTAATAATCTGGAAGAAAACACAAAATAGTATTGCAGAGTTCCCTGATGACATGCAGACTGGGAGACTAGTAGTCAATAAAAAACATAAGCAACAGTTTTCTCAGTGAACAGTGGTAGCCAAACATAAGCCATGCTTCTAAGTGGTGTTGTCCATCTGTACATGCTTGGAAGAACAGTGACTCTGAAGAGGAGTTGACTGTTCCAGTGGATGTTAGGATGGATGGATGGATAGATGGATGGGACAGCAGAAAGAGATGCTGCAGCCAGAAGAGCTAAGTAGAGACACTAGGTACTTCAGTAAGTTCTACAGGGAATTGAACTGGCAGGTCCACAGTCCCAGCAGGATGGGTGACATAAGAAACACTGCAGAAGCTTCAGAGAAGGACCATCAAATAGTTTCAGCTCTCATAGTGAAAAAGTTATGGCTGCTAATGTATTAACACTATCAAATGGAAGGATTTGGTAGTGATTTGTTCAATGTCTATGTACCTGTGTGGTAACGGAAAGTTCTTCCATATAGCAGGCAAAGATACAGTAAGATCCTATGTTACACTTAAATTAGACAAAAATCATCATTCTTTCTCTGACTTGTTTAAGGTGAAGATAAGTAGCTATTGAAGCAGCTTAGGAAAAGTTTTTGTCTTCCCAT